AGCGCTACGAAGCCATGAAGGCCTGCCCCCCCTTCCTGCAGTTTTTCTCATAACCGTCTTTGCAAATGTGAGTTGAAGAGGGCGATGGAGAGGGTCGGTAGGCCAAGACTTCCAGTCGTCAAAACATGCACTTGGACGCTCGACGAGCTCCTGAAGCATGTTCGGAATCTGGAGTGAGACTGCCGCTCAAGTGGGCAACAGTCGTGATGATAATGGTGCAGGAATGATGCCTTAACTTTCTTGCTGAAAGTTATGCGGGTGGGTTTCGCGCTCTGCGGACCAGCTGCTTGGTGACTCTCAGCATCGAAGCGATTAATCGTGAATGGTGTGTTGTGGGCTGTTGCAGAGTTTTGTTTGCAGGACAACCCCCTTTTCAAGAGCATGGAGATCTGCCTCCCAGAGGAGAAGGAGCCGTCATATACAACACTTCCGGTCTAACCACTAGTCACTAGGCCCTATACTACACCGGCAGCTTTGCCGAGAAGCCAAGTGCAAGCTTCCCAAGACGACTAGGGCTAGGGGTAGTTTTGAAACCTGTGGCAAGAGTTTGCCGCGGTGATGTGGCTGCATGTCATCACTCATTTCAAGCAAGATCCGATGTTCGATGGTTCTCCGGTTTGTGCAGGCGAAGGCCAAGGAATGGGCTCCGCTTATCATGAAGGGCCGCGATGACAGCGAACCTATTTGCATGACGAAGGCCTGTCACTTGGATTGTGGTACAGTTATTCGTGATGATGGAGCGATTTCGAACATCCACAGTTCGCAGCTCGAAGCAGTTGTGTTGCAGTTTGCGTGGGGTTCTGGGATATTCTGAGCGGCAGGCGAAAAGGCGAGAAGCGCAGATGTAGACTCACAGTGGGATGCAGCTGCACAGGTGCCTCATGGAACGGACGTGGACTATGGTGCTTTGACGAAGGCCCGTTTTGAACACTCATGACAAGACCATTTTTGCCCATCCGTTTCTCGAAGGCCAAGATCGTGGCCTTCCAGGAGCTTGGTGCCGAAGCGGCAAGATTTGACAAGTCTCGTGTGAAGGAAAATCTGGCCGTCCACTGTGTGTGTTGACGGTGACAGAGGTTTTGGACCCATGAGGCGTAGATGGCGCAGATGCCAGGTGCTTGACCGATGAACATGTTATCAAAACATACGCACTCATAGTCATAGAGAAAAGCGCATCTTCTTTGCTGTTATTGTTGATGTTTGCTTACTTTTGGTGGTTGCGGGCTTCTTGTGCTTGACGGCAAGGTCGTTGCAGCAAGTTGCAGTGCTGCCTTCTCGGTTCGGTTTAAGTATATAACCTGTAGCAAGTGTGTGGGTGTGCATGTCGTGGTCGAGCATCTGTGCTGCAGTGCATCGGTGGTGTTTGTTCGGGTGCCGCTGTGGCTTCAGTGTCGACACTGAGCGACGCCCGAACTTGGTTTGGCATTGAAGTTGTTGAAGGCATGGAGCCGAATCTGTTTGTCGATCGCAGAAAACTGGAGCCCAGAAAAGCGAATCCTTTGCCTTCCCGACCGGCTGCCCATATTCCGCGTGATGGTCCTTTGAAGAGGCCGAAGATTTGCCCGAAGATTGAGAAGCCGCAGGCGCTGACCAACATCGATGCTTGGAAAAGGGTAGGCCGTGAACGTGCCTTGCGCAAACGTCACAGTAATCATCAAGTGAGCAAAGAAATCTACGATTCTCCACGTACGTGCAGGTACGTGTGTGCAATCGGTGTATGGCAAAGAAAACAATACTTATATGAACCATGTACTTGCAAGGGTTACAGAACCAGTCCCAACTCAGTGCAGATAAGTTAAGGAAGTCCCTAAAAACCCCGAACCCTAAACCCATGCATCTTGAAGACAGTATCGTGGTGGACCTTGCCAGGCTTGTCCGAGTGTGAGTGTCAAAAAACCCAAAGATCGCCTGGCTTGTCCGAGTTGTGAGAGTGTAAACCCCCAAGGAAGGAATCATCGAGAAGTCAGAGGCCTTGATGGTTGCCCGCGGGGACCTTGGTGCCGGGCTCAGATCCCTGGCCTTCTTTCTGTCCCCGATCCCGATTTCCTCTTTGGGTTTAGGGCTTTTAGGGTTTTCGGGGTTTTTAAGGAAGTTCAGGAGGCTAGGCTAGGCCTAGGGTAGGCCTAGGCTGCCGATCTCGTGTCATCTGCAGGCGTTGAGCTTGGACTCTACCGCGTGCCCTTCGCACAGAAGCTTCTCATTCGAAAGGTTCGCACGCATTCGCAATTGCGGTTGAAAAATAATAGGCAAGTTGGTCGGAACACATGTCACAGGAAGGGTCTTACAGCTTGAGTTCCAGAATCAGACGTACGTACGACCACGGTTCAAGCACGTCGAGCTATGGGTAGCTGCCTTGCCATCTGCCATGCAACTGCTAACATGTTCACGAAACTGCTCCGAATTTTCTGTCATAAGTCATCGCTGCAATAGGCATCCGGTTTACCATCCTCAGCGCCATGGGAGACAAGGGCTACTCAAACTTTCAAAAGAGCCCCATACGGGGCCGCCCCAATGTCAGCAAACTGGTGCCGAAAAAGCTGACGCGCACGACCACTGATGACTCCCAGACAGCC